AGGCGGGGCGGGCGCGTGCTTACGCAAAGGCGCCGTGCGGGTTGCGTAACTTCGGTATGCCACGCCGCTGTTGCTGTTGTAGATCTTGTTGCTGGCTTTCCCCGTTGCCCACCAGCTACTCATCAACTTCATGTCTCCTAGGTCAATGCCATTCGCTGCTTGAAGAAAAAAATCCTGACGGTCATTTTCAGGTTTTGGTTTTGAAGAGTTCGGTTTAAAGTTGGCATTTTCTTGACATCCAGTTTGATCTAGATATTTCTAGATATTTAATATTTAAACCTTATTAGTCTACCTTACTGAAGAATATTAGTGTTTATAACATTCTACTACGAAGTTTTCGAAGTGCGTAATTATGACTTGGGTCCATGAAGTCCCATGGAAGCCACCTTCATCCTCCCTTGACTATGACTAATCATCTCATCCATTACACTTCGATTTTAAAATAGAATCCGTTGACGTTTAATCAGCTGTTACTCTATCATCCAATACTATAGTGACGTATAAGCTCCCGAAAGGATGACACTAACGGCTGATAAACCGTCAACGGATTCTATTTTTAAATCAAAGTATAGATAATTCAAAGCATTCATGACATTTGAGAATAATCAGTAGCTGCAATTCAAACCACGGTTCCCAGAATACGCAAGCGCGTTAAAAGGGGAAAATTAGAAAAAAATGCATTTGAAACATTTTTCTCTAACCCGGCCAGGTTTATCTGCCTCTTAAAACCTCACAAAAAATAAAACGAAAGTTGATCGTTGATTTTCCAATCTGGAAAGAATATGCATATATGAATGTTGTTTTTTTAAGGAAAGGAAAGGAAACCGCTCACCAAATCAACAGCCTCTGGATACCTCCCTGCTGTATCAAGCAAAATAATGGAACTCGAAAAAGAAAAACACTTTAAATTCGTACTTAAGACAACATTACAAATTTAGATTTAATTAATTAATTTTATTTTATGGAAAAAAGGATTTTGAGAAAATAGAATTTTTAAAATAAAAATACTTCAAGAATTGAAGGGAAATTATGAAGTATTAAAAAAATTAGTATTAAGAGTTGTTTTCTAATTTTTTCGCCTCGGAATGCAATGCGAAATATAAAAAATAGCACGCCACATAACAGTTATCGAAATAAAAGCGATTTTTCCTTAGAACACCTTAGATATAGTGCAACTACATTTAAATTTTAAACTAATTCTCCCAAAATAGCATACGACGTTGTTTAATTCGTCTTTTATTGGATTTTTGGGGTGAGTGTTCCTTTCAAGGTGGCCGCTTATTTCCTGGAACAAATTCCCTGGACTTTTCCCGGTTTTACGGTACATTATTTTTTAGTTTTCACTAATAAGTTTTGTAGAGTATTTCACACTATTTGAAAAAAAAATATTAAAGGAAGGCTGCCACTAATTTGTAAACTCTCATTTTACCGCGATAAATTATAAATCTCAAAACAAAAAACAAAAAAATAGTCACAATTGTTTGCTGAACAATTGTTCCCCTAAGGTTTTATCCAGCCGACAGCCGGTTACACTTTATGTCCCGATGGGACGCGTATTACACCATACGCTAGACACCAACACACTTGCGGGCTCCTCCGATGCGGAGCCAGAAGAAAGCAACGCTATCCGCGACAACACATACAAAGAGAAGGAACACACAACCATGCCCAAGCGGGACTCGAACCCGCGACACTTCAGACCAAAGCGCTCAGTCTGTACACGTTCTTAGCCATCTCGGCCATACAGGTCGGCCGAACCATTTCCCCCCCTAGGAATAAAATCTAGTTATACAACCGTCTTAAAATTTCCTCTGAATTCTGACGATTCTTCCACAAATTCCCTGATTTCTCCCTATTTCCCATGTTTCCCAGAAAGAGGTCACCCCACCCTTAAGCCCGAATTAAAAAGAGTCTTCTGTGTTCGAATCCCTTGCGCAAAAGGCGCAGGAGGGTTGCATAACGATAGTGTCCCACCGCGGCACGGCGCGGCGCGGCGCGAGACGAAAGGTTGAGCGCGCGTGCGCGTGCGCGTGCCAAAGAGCTTTGCACATTCGCTTCCCGCTTCCTGGCCGAACGACCCGATCACGAGCGTCGGACGGTTCACGCGGGAAGCGGGCCGGCGGTCGCGGGAATACGCGGGGAAACGCGGCTGTTGAGGATTGCGCGAAGAACGACATACGGGGTCTCATTTGCCGGCAATTGAGAGCAGTTTACCAAGCGTTCGTCACGATTTTACGCTCTCGTGTAACTCGGGTAGAGCGAGCGCTAAAGCCGTGCTCTTATTTGTGACTACTGGAAATGTTCCTTGTTTCTGACGAAACATTTTACAGATTTTAAAAATTATTTTCAATATTCTTCTTTCGACTTGCGAGTCAACAAGGCAGTTGTACGCTTTTCTAAATCGCATTTTATGTAACGTGTGTAAATCCACATTGTTGTAGTCGTAAATGAACGTGCGCAAGAACTGAAATTAGAATGCGCCCCAGATGCCGTTTGCAACAATGGTGCATTGCGAAGAATACAAACCAGCCATGTTCGTCAGCTGGTTGAGTAATTCCTTTATACGCCCATAATTACATCTACCGACGTGTGAGTAGATGATGCCATTGCTGAATGTTTCGATGGACTCTTTTATGCTGGCGACTCTTTCACAAACTAGGTTTCACAATATAAGACATCGGGAGAAGAAATATGTGCGGAGTTCGTGGGCATTCGTAAGTTTCTACAGGTCGATGACACCGTAGAACACACAAAATTTATGATAGCTTTGATTGTGGTGTTACGCCAGGATCCCGGATCCTTTCCTTCTTCCGGGTCACTCAACAGTCTAGATCATTTCCATTTCGAACAAATTTTTACTTTCTCGTATACTACTTGCTAAAGTTTAATTTATTTCTACGACATTCTACAACTGCAACGCTGAAGGCAGAGCTCGTTTTTCTTAATGTAGTAAGTTCTTCAAAGTGAATTCTATAACTAATGTTTTTATTTTAATTTTATTATATCTTTTGAAAATTTATTTGGCGTAGTTTTTTGTGACCGTTACTAATAATGCGAGAAAGTGGATTTGTTTCATTAGTTCACTTAGGTCAACCTTTATTCTGACAAGTTTAAATTCAAGAAAAGTTTAACAACTTTTATTTCCAACTTTATTTTTCAACATTTGAAAATAGTTCTAACAGTACCCAACTGGAATACGATAGACACAGAAACTATGAACATTACCCTTTCTTTAATATGATTTAAGAAAAACAAAACTTCCAACACATTGAATCAAAGCCATTTCGTGTACAATCACAGTACTAGTTAACTGGCACTCACAAATTGAAACTTATGGACGAAAGTAAACTTCAATAAAAATAATATCGAAATATATTAATTTAAATAAGTCACATTTTCAATTTGGCCCTCAATCTGTTTAAAATTGTAAATTATCGACGATTTAAAAAAAAAGCCAATATCTATTACAAAAATTAAAACTATCATTTTCCAAGACGGGCGACGAATAGTTTTCCGGCATTGCTCGGTCACAGTGTTTCGCTGAGCCTCTCCGAGAACACAATGAGAATCGACGTGGGCTTCCACCAGTCCAACGCTCCGGGAACTGGGTCGCCGACTAGATGGCAGCAGGCGCCGAGTGTTTTGCAGGGCCTGGCAGACGGCGGCGGCTGGCGCCAGAAAGTGGCGCGGAACAGCGGACGGCGGCGATGCGCCTGCCCAGGACAATATCCGCTCGGCTTTGTGGGGCGGCGCTTCCGGGAGGCATCGGCAGGCGCTGAAGGCGGCGGCGGTGGCGGTGGCGGCGGCGACGTATGCTGCTGGTGGTGCTTTCCGACTACTCTCAGTACCTACTCTGTGCACGAACCTCGCAGTAACGGAGCCACCGGTGACCGCCGCGGAGCCCTGTCCAGGAGCCCGGGAGGGAGCTGCGGCTCTGATGCCGGGTGCCGGCTGTTGCCTCGGCAGAGGGCAGTGGGGGGGTGGTCGCTACCAACGGCGGACGCGCCTGGTCTCGCATGCACGATGTCTCGAGCATTTGCTTCACTCGCGCGCGCCACCCCGGGCTCACTTGCACGCCGACCAGCACGTGCAGCACGCAACGCCGGAGGTGGAAGTAACGCCGAGACCCGACCCAGTGGCGCGTGGTTTTCGTGCTGACAAAATAAATACTCGGTAGGCCCGTTGGCGGCTGTTATAGGCGAAAGGCAATACGGTATGCTCTGCACGAGTAGTGCTAATGGCCTAGGCGTACACACAGAGGGGGGAGGGCGTGTCAGGGACTTTAATTCCCTAAAAACATTGAAATGGGACCCCGTTGCCCCACGTAATAAAACGTTTTGTTCCCATAAATACGATCAATTCCTCATGTTAACCCGTTTTCAGCTGACATTTGGAGAAGAAGCTCTTCAAAACATCCGGCTACACTAGTTACAGTCTCAACACAAAACCCATTGTCTTTATAAATTGTATCATTCTCCTCATTGTATCTCATTTATTTACAAGTTAAAATGACTTTTAAATAAAAACGTTTAATGGAACAAGGGCCCAAAAATGTAATTGGCCTCTCCTCTTGTTTGAAACTGCTCACGCCTTCGGTGGTGGCGGTTGTGATGTTGGCGGCGGCACGTAAGACATTCTCCGGGGCTCAGGAGGTGGAGTAAAAAAAGAAGCTGAGCGGTGCGCGGCTGAAAGTGCAGGAGGTTCGCGTGTCGGAATCGAGAGGTGAAGATGGTGGCGCAGATACCACGTTCACTACAGGAAGAACTTCGAGAGCCATTCACTGAAATGATGCTCAACATGACCTGTTGAACGAACGACGAAGTGTTAGAAATGAACCTTCACTAACCGCATTATCTCTATAATCTGTGTTTAGCGGTGGAAGAATTCTTGCGGAGGTATTTCTCTTTATACCCCCAGTTTACAACTGACGGCATCTGTGCGCAATCTAGGTAACATGTTCGAAATACTACGAAAATCTAAGTCGCGAAAGTATGTTTTCGCAACTCGAAACGTTTTATTTGAAATGGGAAGAATTGGAAGAAGAGTAGTCTATGTCCAGAAAAACTGATTTTGTTACCCTTACTGGTTAACCGTTTACCAATCGAATTAAATACTATGCTTTGCAGTCGAGCTTCCGCAACTTAACTAGAAACATATACACACAGGAAACCATGCCACCAATATGACGTAACTTTCTACGAAATAATAATACGCATTTCAAATTATTATACCGGCTTAATAAAAACATTTATTTTCCGTTCTCAAATAGAAATAATTGGTAAAACATATAATTGAACTTATTATTTACAATCATTTGACACATTTTTCATTAACCATAAAAATAAATAATATAAGAAGAGACGATAACGTAGAAATCATTACATAATATACAAATTGACAAATAAAATTAAGTAGACATATTGAGATTTATTATATATTTCCTTGTGTTTGTTTGCAAATAATGAGCCCCTTCTTTATCGCAACGCATATCACCATAGCATGCCGGGCTACTTATCGTTGTCTGCTTCTGATATGTGAAGTTCGCTATAGCGTTTGTCTCACTCTTTATTTCTTCTTCATTTCAATTTTAAAGTACACACTTCAGTTAATTTTCTATTACATCAACATTATATTTTCTCACTTGTCAAATTTTCACTTAAAAAAATAATTTCTCTCCGCGGGACACCACGTTCATCTCCAAGAACCTTCGGTGCAATCTTCCTCCACAACACACACAGCTTCCCCTCTTGTTCAACAATGCAGATTCCTTCGCTTGTTAAAACAAACTGTTCTAATTTCACACTTATTTTAATCGTATAATGATTCTTTAAATATTACTCAGTTATTTTATTCTTTGAATTTTCACACACTGATCAAATTAAATAAAAGCGTAAAAGTTTGATGTAAATGACGTCTTAAACATCTTTACATAAATATTAATTATATTACAAATGGTACAGTCCACATTTCACATATCTTCAACAAAGCACAATCGATAAACACCCCATAATCCAAGGATTTTTAGTTTTGTAGAAATTCCTATTGTTCTCTCTCTTGGAGTGGCTTCTACAATTAATGTCCAGTGTAAAACTGGCCAACTTTTGGGCTACTAAAAATCCTCCAAACGTTTTGAATTTGTCTACCAAGATTATCAGGTACAATAGTATCCGCCAAAGGCAAATGGTACGTAGGTGGCGAACCTAAACATTTGAATCACGTGGAGGAGGAGAGGGCAAAAAGGAGGAGAGAGATGGCGGCCGCATGACTACGCGCTAAGCCAGTTCCGGTTCTGCAGTGCTGCAATTCGGGCTCTCCCGCAGCCGGCTCGAACAGCTGCTTCGAGATCTATATTGACTTCACGGTCGGGTGCGGGAGTCAGTTACTGGGTCGTGAGGTAATGACTGTTGCAGCGAAAGCAAAACTCATCCTGGTGCACTCCGCTGCGCTGCAGAGAGGCTGTTTCATTGCAGAAAACGCAAAGAGCTAGAGAGTTGTTTCCATTCTGCTTCTTCAGGAAAGCGTTGAGAGAATTCTTCCGGGCCTCCGTACAGACAGCCATTTGTATCTTGCAACATCATTAATTTCGATCCTGTCATCTGTTGAGGTTTCTTCCTTTTACATACGACGCCACAGAACTCGGTATTTTGAAAGGAAATGCGAAGCATTAGTAAATAACGCGTTGTATCCTGCTGTGAGAAGGAACCCAGGGGTGGCAAATTTCTAATAGCGTTGTAATGGTACTCGATTCAAATTACTCGCGATTTCTCTTCCCAGAACGAGGGCAGCGTTGGAAACTTTATAGCCGTCAACATTTAGCATTATGAATCTCATTAGTTTGTAGAAAGATCTTCGCAAAAATAATGAAGACTGAGGGAGGTCAATTGAGATATCGAGAAAATTATGTTTTTAGATTCTGATATGAGCAATTTCGTACGATATCATTTTATTTCTTCACTACTTAAATTTACAATTTAGAAATACTCCATGAATTAACAATGAATTTCTTGATTTAACGATAATGAATTATAACTCAAATTGACTACGCATTTTAATACATATTAATTAGATGAAACACGTATTAGTTTTCATTCAATAACTAGTATTGAATTAATTTTCATTTTCCATTAAAGAAGTGAAATAGTTTGATTTGCCTTCACAGCACTAAATAATAATGAATTCAATAATGGATAAAAATTAACAGTAGGAAAACAGTTCTTTATTTTGAATATGCTATTAAAATAAATTTCAAAATTAACTATCTAGTAAAAAGTTTCGCTGCTGAGAGAGTGAGATGAGTCACCAGAATGGTCATCGCAATCAGCCCGTTTCTGATATATGACAATTCCGGGGCAATATATTCGCGTTCGCCAATGCATCCCCGTCCAAAATCATACGAGTAGTATCCAATCGAATAACGCTATTGCTGAAATCTCGAATGTTAGCGTCGGCAAGGGACAAATGAACAGCAAACCAACTCGCCAGCGAGCGAAATTCGTTCAATGGCCACCAAGGGAGCGCCACACGCGCGTGTGAGAGCGACTGCGTGCGGCGAGTGAGCGCCACGCGTGCAGCTCACATACGACACTTACTTTCGCGGCAGGGGATATATTTGAATTTAATTTAATTGAATTGATGCCTAATTTTAACATGGTGAGACTCGGGCTAAGAGGCCTGCTCTTCCATCTGACCACGCAAATTTCGCTTCGCTCCTTTCACCAACTAACGGCGAAAGGGGGTATTTCTTGGGCGACCAACAGGCGATTTTTACGTCAACCATTAAGCACTGATCATGGCAGAAGTATTGTATCCCATCAAGTAATGCAAAACCTACGGGGAGGATCTCGATAATATCGGCATCTTTCACAGCCACAGTGCCAGAAAAGGACGACGCCAGAGATCGAACATCGTGCAACGACCTCCAGTGACAACCGCGCCCGCAGCCGTGCATCGCCCACGCGAGGCAAGTGGGCGACACGCGTGCGCACAAAGGAAAGCCGCTACGTTGATGCTCGGAACAATATGTTCTCGTTAGTCGGTGCGCTCCGAACAAAAGTATCGCGTCCGTATCGAAAACCTGCAATCGTTGAAATCTCCAATACCGGGTCACTGCGGGCGGAATTTCGTTGCTCTTCTTTCTCCTTTTCTCGCCCCCCTTACTTACACACACACATATTACCACGCACGTCGGGAACTTAGAGTATGGTCCGAGTAGGTGCGAACCCCAGCTGGTGAGAGACATGGATGGGTCGACGTGTAGATGGGCGCAGAATCTCACCATCCAGCGACGGACGAACACCGCCACCTGCCGTGATAGAACTATACCCTACATGAGTAAGGACCACAGCGCATTACGCGCACGAAAACACGAAAAACAATTAATCGAATTGGTGAGAAGAAAAGCAACAGCAACCGTCCACGTCAGCGAGCGAAGACGGAGCATCGGCCGATAAGAGATATCGATGCTCGCGGTCACGGACCGCCAGCATGTAGCAGGCACAACGCATGCGCAGAAAGGCAAACCAAAACATTCAGGCACAGGAAAAATATATTTATCAATCCGCTTAAGACAAAAAGTCCTCATCGCGTCCTCATCAAATATCGCAATCCTCGTAGTGCAGCCCCAAAGCTCCTTGAGAGTCAAAACAACAGAAGCCGGGGACGTCTGCGAGCAAACTCCGAGCAGCTGCCATCTCCAGTGATAAACACGCACAACGCTTAAGGGAATACTTGGCATTGCAGTTGGCAAGCACGAAAGAAAGGAACAAATATCAAATGTCGCCATCGCCGATAGACAACGCAACAGCCACCGGGGAAAGAGCAACGGCCGCCAGTAAACATCAACCGCTATGGCCGCGGTCACAGATCGTCTGCGTGAGACGAGTGGGCGTAACGCGTGCGCAGAAAGGCAAAACGCAACGTTCGCATCCGGATAAAATATATTCTCATTTACCAATGCTCTAGGGACAAACGTATCACGCCCTCATCAAATACCGCAATTCGCGGCATCTCGGAAAGGTTCCAAAGCGCGGCTTGGCCGAGAAGCAAAGCCACAGCAACCGTCCACGCCATCGAGCAAAGCCCGAGCATCGGTCGCCAAGAAACATCAACCGCTATGGCCGCGGTCACAGATCGTCTGCGTGAGACGAGTGGGCGAATCGCGTGCGCAGAAAGGCAAAACGTTACTTTCGCTACCCGGAGCAATATATTCTAGTTCAGCAATACGCTAGGGGCAATGTTTCGTGACCTCATCCAAAACTGCAATCTCCGAAGGTCTCCAAAGCGCGGCTTGGCCAAGAGGCAAATCCACAGCAACCGTCCACGCTAGCGAGCGAAGCCTGAGCATCGGCCGCCAGGACACATCAACGCCCGCGGTCGCAGAACATCCACGCGCGGCGAGCGGCGCGCACGCGTGCGCACAAAGGCGAACGCGGCGGCGCGCGTGCGTCGTAGGCGCCTGCTCCGTATCATGCATTATGCATCTCGCGCCGATTACGCCAAAGTCCGCGTGGGCTCACCTCCTCCGCGCCGCGCAGTGGCGAGAGCTAGCGCGTGCGCCCCCGCGAAGTGCCGGGCCCGCCCCGCGCAGGCTTCGGAGAACGCGCCGCGCGGGCCGGTTCGGCGAAAGATGAACGCCGCGCAGATGTCGCGACGATATGTGCGAACGAAATGCGCAGAAACTACCATGGCTGTGCGTAAAAGAGGTCTATTCCTCAA